GCTATGAACTACAAAATCACACAGCGAGGAAAAAAATGGCGGACTATGAAATCCAGTTGGCCGGAAATACATTACCATAAATGGTAGTTCCGAAGAAAAAAGTGTGACAAAATAAGCAACAGCAGATTTTGAACAAAATGAAAAATTTGACCCATAAAAAATATAAAAATATCTTTGCAGTAACTGGACAGAATAAATTAAAGTTTTCTACACTCGTAGACACTATAATTGCACAAAAATAGTTTATAAATGCAAAAAAGTGCATTTAGCATGATATGTCTCCTTTAAAAACACATTTATATTCCCGGCCTTTTGGCACAGCCTGAGCCTTTTTTTTTGTTTGTTTTACTCCTATTTTAATGTTTTTAATTGATTTTCTTTGTTTTATGTTTTATTTTGTTTTTACTTGTACAGGCCTTTGTTGCAGCTGTGGTTGCTTTATAAACAAAGTAGTAATAGTAGTTCCTGAAATGTTTTATTTTGGTTTATTGACTTTCCAAAACCCTTGGAAATTAATAATTTGATGTACATTGAAGCTCTGCAAAGTTGCGGACTCAGTGTTTTGCGGATTATTTCATGGAACCGATCTTCTAGTAGTTTGCGGTAATCCCCGCAATAACACAGAAAACAAAACTACAGTACAGTAAGGAACATCAATGTTATTTTTCTCTCGTGCTTTTTCGTGAGTTCTCAAGTGTTATGTTCCCCTTGGCTGTCTAGGAGCTGGGGGACACAGCAAATAAAAGTAACCGGGCAATGAAGGAACATAACACAGGAGGATCAAAATAAAGAATGGTTTATTCATAAAAATAAGAACTAGGAAGAAATAGGAAGGAAGGAAGGAAGAAAATAACTTGAAATGAAAAAATGGGAGAATTAATCAGTATGTTGAATACTGGGAGTGAAATCACTGAACCCACCCAACTCCCATAAACAAAAAGGGTACCTGGACCCACAAGGTCAAAGGCTCATGTGGCTCAGCAACCAACTAAAGTAGACAAAACTCTGTGCACCAAACACACTAACCCCTGTCAAACACCAAAAGGGTCACAAAACTCACCCTACAGGACCAGCACACCAGAACCTCAGGTTCACCAGCAGCTCACAAGCTGCCCAAATGACCATAGGCATCGAGCTCAGCTTCACACCAGGCCTTATACTCTGCACATCAGAGGGCAAAGTGAAACCACCTGCACCTGCTTAAGCTGCATTAGCTCAGCAGCACCAAAATTAAAGAGGAAAAACACACATGCAGACACCACTGCATGTAACACCCCACTCCATAAAATCCAAACTCCTGTTTGGTACACAAAAAAAATACCCCTGCCAAAGTAGAGTCAACCATATACACGGGACAAAGCGTCCGCCACCACATTGTCTGAGCCTTTCTTGTGCTTAATTATGAGGTTAAATTTCTGCACCATTAATGACCAACGCATCAGCCTTTGGTTGTGATTATACATCTGAGACAAGAAGACAATCGAGTTGTGGTCAGTAAATACAGTCACTGGAATGGATGAAGAGCTTACATACACCTCAAAGTGTTGTAAGCCCAGAGGCATTGAGAGAGTTTCGTTTTCTATGATGGAATGGTTCTTCTGGTGAGGTTTAAACTTGGCCGAAAAGTAACTCACAAGGTGACACACTTCATCTTCACCATCTTGAAGTAGCACTCCTCCAGCTCCTTTGTCACAGGGATCCACCTCCAACTTAAAAGGCCAGGTAACATCAGGAGCAGCCAGCACTGGAGCACTATAGAGAAGCGATTTAGCTGTGTTAAAAGCTTCTTCACACTCACTGGTCCACACAAAAGGGATAGCCGGGCTACACAAAGTGGTAAGGGGAGCTACCACTATAGAAAAGTTTTCACAGAAGCACTGGTAATATCCAACCATTCCCAGAAAGCATTTCAACTCACGCCTTGTTAAAGGGACCGGATAGGTTAGTGTTGTGTCCACCTTAGCCTCTACTGGACAGACCTGTCCAAGACCAATCTTGCCAAGATAGGTTACCATGGCTTTGCCAAACTCACGTTTTGCAAGATTTAATGTTAACGATGCTCTATGTAACCTTTGGAACACAGTTCTCAGGTTGGAAACATGTTCATCCCAGTCATTAGAAAAGATGACCACATCATCAAGGTATACTTTGCAATGTGGAACATCTTCCAAGACCATCTGCATGAGACACTGGAAGGTGGCAGGAGCATTTCTCATCCCAAAAGCCATGACAGTATACTGAAGAAAGTGGTCAGGGGTCACAAAGGCCGAAATATCAGATGCTCTTGGGGTTAAGGGAACTTGCCAATATCCCTTTAAGAGGTCTAATTTAGTTATGAATGTAGCAAGACCAACATTGTCAGTACAGTCTTCCTCAATGGAAAGTGAAGCACAGGCTTCCTGAGCTTTACCTTTTAACTTACATTGTACAAGTATTGCCCACACCTCTCTTGACCAGTGCAATGCCAAGGCTATCCTTTCAAAAGTTCCAAAGTAGTGCTCAACCTCAGAGTCATGAAAATCAGGCACTAGATGAATATTTTTTGTGACATCAAAGGCAGGAGCTGGGGTCACTCGAGTTGCGTTTCACAGATCGCAGACTCAGTCTTTTCTGATCTCCATCCTCTAGTTTTACTTTTACATTTTCTAAATTGACTAATTTTGTAACAAAGGATAACATAAATTCAGTTCCATGAAATAAATAAATGAAACAGTACAGAATGATTTTAATGTCCAGAGGAGGGGGTGCTGAGTGACTGAAAGCTCTTGAGCCCACAGCATTCAAACGAGCAGGTGATTGGTTGGAGGACCTGTGTGTGTGGAATGGGTCTTACTGTGGAGAAATTCTGTGAGATAGCGGGGGGCGAGGTTACTGAGGGCTTTGAAGGTGAGGAGCAGGATTTGAAAGATGTGAAGCTCAATGGAGAGTCAGTGAAGATGCTGCAGGACAGGGTTTATGTGACTGGTGAAATTGGTTCTGCTGTAGGCCTTTTCTGGACCTCATCCAACATTTGTGTTTTGTTTTTGTTTTTGTTTTTCCCCACAATTCATGGATAATCTAAGAACATAACCCCCTCCCTGCGAAAATCCGGGGCTTCATTGCACCTCTACAACAGATTAGCTTTTTGAGTCACATTCAAAATGGCCACCGCAGCTTAGCACATTTACCAAATTCAAAAATGTCTGTAACTCTGCCAGTTTTACAGCCAATGAGCTAAAATGTGCTGTGGTAGTAGCTGAGAGTCACTCTTACATCCAAATACTTTACGAGATCATTCATGACACTGGACCACAACGTTCACGAACGATTCGAATCTTTTGAACGGCTCTCTACAACGAACGATAGGAGCTGAGTCGCGGGCAGTAACGAGCCATTTGTAGTTTTATTTATTTTATTCCTCATATAATCTTTATTTTTTCATATTCTAAATTGCTCCCTCTTTGCTTCTTCATGGAAAACAGGCAGGGCGGTGGAGTACAGAAGCTAACTGTGAAGGGGCGGAGGGGGGTTCCACTTTACAAACACATGGTTCCACCCAAGTAATGTGATGACATCATCACGTCGCCATACGTGATGACGTAACTCGTTCAAAATCAAACAGCCCTTTTAAACGGCTCTATGAAACAAACGGCTCCCCAAGATCCAGATCCCTTCAAAAAGCCATTTATCCCATCAGTATTTGATACTATAACATGAAAGATGGCCTTTATTTACCTTGGATTTAGTTTTTTATACAAACAAAGAGCAACGGTCAAGTTTGTGTGCATGTGATTCAAACCGGAGGCCCCATCATACCTGAGAGACATGTCTTGCACATCGGAGGCTGGTTGGTGCCCGACGGTCGTCTAAAACAAGAAACAGATGGGAGTTTTAATTTTTTTTAAAACAAAGACAACGAGCGATTAGTCAGTCATCCAGTCTGTTTTCTTGTTTTTACTTGTTTCCCACACGGTCCTGAAGATGCGTCAGAGCGGCAACGTTACTTCTCACTGTTCGCAGACTGGCCAAAACCTAAAGAAGTAAAACAAGAGGAGTAAAAAAATATTTATTTTTGCTTTGTTTTTTGCACACAATCAGAAGCTTATTTAGGTGTTATTTTATTTGCAAACGGAAGATGATATATTTAACTACAGTGTTAAGTCAGCAGGGAGCTGTTAAGTTTTTTTCTTTTTAGTTTAAAGTTTATTGATTTAAAAACAACACAAATTCAACATACAACAAAACACAAATCACAAATTAAATTAAACGAAAGGAGGAAGAAAGAATCTTATAATCCCTCATAATTTCGCTTCTGATTGAGATTAAAGGATCCTAAAACAAGTTTCCTGAGTTTGTGCAGCAATGAGCCGAGCTTTAAAGGGGGGCGGGGGTGGGGTGGGGTGTATTTTGAGCTTTAAAGGGGACGTGCTGCGTATTTTGAGCTTTAAAGGGGGCGTGCTGCGTATGTTGAGCTTTAAAGGGGGTGTGCTACGTATTTTGAGCTTTAAAGGGGGCGTGCTGCGTATGTTGAGCTTTAAAGGGGGTGTGCTGTGTATTTTGAGCTTTAAAGGGGGTGTGCTGTGTATTTTGAGCTTTAAAGGGGGTGTGCTGTGTATTTTGAGCTTTAAAGGGGGTGTGCTGTGTATTTTG